TTGGGTTTTGACTTGGTCGAACTCTCAGCAACAATCTGTTCTTCTTTAACAGGAGGTGATGCTGAGACCTGAGGTGATGCTGAGACCTTGAGTATTGGCATGGGATTTTTTGAAGGAGTGACAGGAGGCAAAGGTTTTGGAGCCACTTGTGGGGCTGGAACCTTGACTGGATAATCCTTCTGAAGGGCGTCGAGAATAGTCTGGTATTGGTACCTTGGCCACCATTTCACAGAATATTGTCTGCAAATATGATGATCAATAATTCTCCATTGCCACCTGCAAATCCAAGATATTCTGTACCTGCAGAAAAAGGTTAGTAAAATAGGAATGGGGAATGCGGACTGTTGTTTACTAGGAGTAAATGCAGAGGAGAAGATAAGGAATTGATCATGAAGATCACTAGGAAGAATTTCAATGACGGGGCCATGAACCTGCCACCACCTTACAAACCAGGAGGGAATCTGGCTTTTGAAATTCTTATCAAATTGAAGGAACCAGGAGTGATCTTGAGAAGCACTCTGGTAGAGAATAAGTTTAGTCCATGACTCAATGTAGTCATAATAACTAAACTTAATATTATGTCCGGGAAGTTCTCGGAGGGTAGAAGGGTGAGAACCCCAATCTTTAATGGACATAATGTTCTTAATAAATAGGGAATGGTAGATAGCTACACTAGGGTCCTTTTTATCAGGAATTCCTTTGATAAAAATAGACTGGGTGAAGAAAAGGATATCTTGGTAAAATACAAAAGTTTTTTCAGGATGGGAAGGAACAAAGGTCCATCCTTCTCCAAGATAGGCATTGACCAAATCCAATGTATTGGTTAAATGGGAATGGATTGGTTCAATAGCAAATATGTTCATGACTGGGTTTTTGATGGTATAATCTGTTGATGGGCCTTTGGGTAGTGGGCCTGATCGATAGAATGGATCAACAAGAAGGCTGGTTGTTGGTGGCACTTGCTGGGCTATTTGGGAAAAGGTTTTTGGGTTTACTAGGGTAGGCTGAATTGGTCGGCTTAGTGGGCCAACTGGTCTACCAAGAGGTGTAAATCTGTTAGCAATGGTCAAGGCACTAGAATGGCCAGGAGCATTAGCTGAAGCATAGGCAGAATAGGTCGGCTTAGGTAGTAATGCTAAAGAAGGTGGGTCTTCTTCCTTCTTTACTGAGGCAATTGCTTGGGCCAAAATTTGGTTAACTGTTGGTTTATCCTTGCCTGTTCCCCCCGGTTTTTTGGAGGAAGACGAGGGTTTAGTAGGTTTTTTGTCCGCCATTGGGTTCCTGCAAAAATTCACGAGTTAGGAAATCAGGGATGCAGTTATTACTGCCCTTAATATATTCTATGTCAAAATCAAAAATACTTAAAATGGATTGCCATCTGGCAAAAATTTGTTTGCTAGCAATATTTTGGACATCTTTTTGTAAAACATCTTTTGCAGATTTGCAATCAACTCGGATTAGAAAGTTCTGATTTAATATATCATCCTGGAATTTGGAGACACACAGGATAATAGATAAGAGTTCTTTTTTAATGGTAGAATAATTTGTTTGAGTTTTGTTCCAAAAACTAGAATGGAAACGAACAATTTGTTCAGGAGAATGAGGAGATTCTTTCTGGAGCAAAATGCCACCATAACCAATGTTAGAGGCATCAGTTTGGATGATTTTGAAAGAATTGATGGAGGGAATGCCAAGGCAAGGCAAGGTTTTGATATATTTTTTGACTTGCTGGACAATAGAAGTATGTTCAGGCGTCCAAGGAGTAGGATTGTTTTTGAGCCGAGAATAGAGAGGTTTGACAGTTGGCCTAAGATTCTGATAGAAGTCAGAAACATAGTTAAGGGAACCTAAAAACCTCTGTAATTGGGTTTTGTCGAGGATTTCATCTGGGAACTTGTCAGCAAATAGGATGGCTCTACTAATGGGAACTATGGTAGACTGCTGAATACTGTAGCCTAAAAATCGAATATTGGTTTGGAATAACTTAATTTTGCTAGCTGAGATGACTAAACCATTATGTTTGGCAGTCCCCATAAAAGCATGAAGATGTTTCCAATGTTCATCTATGGTTTTACTAAAGATAAGAATGTCATCAATGTAGACAATAGAGCAATAGGATAAATTAGAGAATATATCATTCATAATATTTTGAAATTCGCTTGGTGCATTTTTAAGACCAAAAAGAACAACATTCCACTCATAGTGCCCAAATGGTGTGGTAAAGGCAGTTTTATATCTGTCTTTCTCAGCAATTTGTATTTGCCAGAAACCAGATTTCAAGTCGAATTTTGAAAATATCATGGCGTTTTTTAATCTTTTGATTAGGTCTTGCATGTTGGGGATGGGATATCGGATCCATTCCAAAACAGTATTCAAAGGTTTGTAATTGATTACAAGCCGAGGAGTTCCTCTTTCTAATTCTGCATTTTTTACAACATAGAAAGCAGGACAAGACCAAGGAGATGTAGATGTCCGAATGATGTTATTTTTAAGAAGTTCAGAAATTTCTGTTTTGCAAATTTCCATGACTTCATGGTTCATTTGGATTGGCCTAGATTTTGTAGGGATCTGTTTTTCATTAAATGTTCTAATATAAGGAAGTTCTACTGTATGTTTTTTCCTATGCCAGAAGGCTGTAGGAAGCATAGAGCAAACTTCTTGTTCAAGTCTTTCTTTGAACTGATTAATCTTCTCATTTAAGATTGGACATTTTAGTTCTTCTAAAAGTCTTTGATGATCAATTTCTTGTTTAAGAAAATTTATCTGGCTAATTTTTCTAAGGTACTTAGAAACAGATTCATCTTTAAGTTGCCTGAGTTCTTTTACTTCAGGTTTTAATAGGAAATCAAAATTAACCTGTTGATTAAGAGGTCGGGTGATTAATCCTTCATTAGTTATCTGAAACGGGGTCAGAAGATAAATAAAGGGTAATCCTAAAATCACTTCATCAGTCATATCTTTTACTAAGACAAATGAGGTTTTAAAACAAACATTGTCATGGCAGATATGAGCTTTAGGTAATTTATATTCGACATTCATGTTTGTACCATTAGCAGATTTTAATTTTTGAATGGTTTTTTCATAGTACTTGGTTGGGATAAGTCCTTCTTGGATGCAGTTTACATCTGCACCTGTATCAATAAGGGCTACTGTATTAATAACAAAATCATTTGCTATAATGATTTTGATTTGGAAATACCATTTTTGTAATTTAATTTCTTTGATAGAGTTAATTTGATTTTCTGTTTGGAGACACGCATCTTGAGATGGCAGCTTCGTTAAACCAGAGTTTTCCACATTGAAGGTGGAGTTTACGGGTATCCGCTGGGAAAGTGTCTTAGTTGAATTATCAGTTTTATCACTGTCAGATTGGTAATTATCTTGAGGTTCTTGGTTAAGAGTGTCGGCTAAAAGACTTAATTTTTCTGCCAAGAGGTTGTCTTGTGCCTTTAAATCTTTTATTTCAACTTTTAATTTATTAATTTCACTATAAAGATCTTGTAAGGTTAATTCTTTTTTCTTTTCCTTACTAAATCTTTCCATAGTTTTGTTAATACTAATTAAAGGTTTTTCTATTATAAGATGTTTGTTTTTTTCTGTTTTGACAAACAGATCTTTAAGATTTTTTATATATTTAGATTTTAATTGAGGTTCTTCAATTTTACTGATTAAGTCAATTAAAATTTGTTCTTCAGTTTGTTCTGTGATTACTCTCACTGTTTTACAACAATTGTCATTACATCCTAATTTTATATCAGGTTCGCTCGTCGTAGATGGTGTAGAAGAATCAGGGGAATTATCAGAATTGTCTGAGTCTGAGTCTGAGTCTCCCGGATTATGAAGTCTGAAGATTTTTAGGATTTCTTCAGTCTCTTCAGTGGTTAGATTAAGTTTTTTTACTTCTTTTTTAATTGGGCAATCGGGACTTTTGTGACCCTTTTTCCCACAGTTATAACATGTTATAGTGTCTGTATTGGTATTTAACCAGTTAGACATTTTCCCTGTTTTCTTAGGTTTTGGTTTAATAGGCTTTTTGGATTTTTTATAAAATTTAGGTTTAGTGAGTAAATCTTTATTATGCTTATAATAAGATTTATTTTTTGAATATGACTTATGTTTTTTATGGGATTTGTGCTTAAGTTTTTTAGAGGTTGATGGTGCTACTGGAGGGAGACCATATTGTTCACAAAAATTCCCCATTTCATATATATATATATATATATATATATATATATATATATATATATATATATATATATATATATATATATATATATATATATTCTTGTTTCTTTCATCTGAATAGATAGAAAGAAAGTTGGCTCTTCTACCCCAACCCAAAGTCCTTGTGTCCAAGGAGGGTTTCAAGTTTTGCAAGACATTTGTACACCCTAGAGAGAAAACCTCAATGGAATGAAAGGGTTGTTTCTTATAAAATAAAATAAAAGTATATTTAAGACAAATAGCGCGACCACTTCTATTTTTCAACTTTAACAACGTATTCGTTTGAAGAATGTAAGTCATACTACTGCCAAGGGAAAAAAGACAAGTGGAGTTTTGTTTTTTATTTTGGTTTTGGGGGGGGATGGGGAAGAGAAATGAGACCACATTAGTTCCCCATGTTCCTTAAAACGAAGAATAATTTCAGCCAACAAATATGACCTAGTTCAACATGAACAGTAAAACATAACTCTGCAATCTCTATAGTTTGACACCTTTTCACATTTTAGGAAATCATCATCATCTGATTCATTCATTCTTTCCCTTTAATCTATGTATTTCCTTTTTAATTGGGAAAAAAAGCCAGTATGTGGATTAGATGAAGTGAACAAACTTTTAATGCATCAAAATCTTCGACAAGAATGACATCTCTACATCATGCTGTTGACCCGTTGATGGAATTGATACGAGTTTGACATAGACCTAAAAAAATATCAATTATTCTTTTTTCTTTAGAAAAGAAAACTAAAGGCTATGGACGATAATAGAACATTGAAATTTCATATTGAGACGAGAAAAAATAACAGAGTATACATTAAATCATCATATGAAAGTAAGTTGTATTGTAGCCACAGAAGGAGTATGAAACTTACAAAAGTTTGACGTCTCTTGTGCAATGGCAATGAAACAACAAGGGGATGAGTATGGTCCCTCACAAATTTTCTAACAACCCATCTACCAGGCCTCTCTCTCTTTACTAAGATCATAGCTGTACAACCTTCTCGACGCCCATCTCTCTTGTGACTTGCAACACTATCTACTCCATGATTATCAGAACCCCCTCTACATCCAAGTCCACGGGAAATAATTGACCCATCACGCTCTGACTTACGGGATGATAGGACACGGGTTACAAATCCTACCCTTATGGCATATTCATCATAAAATGCTCTGGCAGTTTCCTCCGATTCAAATAGCATACCCTCACATGGTTCTTGATTTCTGTCAGCTTCACACGAACTCAATTCCCCTCCTCCAGAAGTTTCTTTTCTTCTAATGCCATCATTATCAACTTCACATAAAACCAATTCCACTGCGCCAGAAGCTTCTATCCTTCCAGTACCAACATTGTCAGCTTCACACAAGATCATTTCCCCTCCACCAGTAGCTTCTACTCTTCCAGGTCCATCATTTTCAGCTTCACACAAGCTCAACCCCCTTTGGCTAGAAGCTTCTAATCTTCCAGTGCCATTGTTGTCAGCTTCACACAAACTAAATTCCCCTCGTATAGAAGCTTCTATTCTTCCAGTGTGACCGTCCATTGTAATATGAATATGTGCTGGGAAAAAAAACATTAAAAGTATAAACATCTGGAAAATTAAAAAGAAAAAATTACTTTCACATTGTGTGAAGAATGGCTCCTTTGTGTTGAGTAAGATGAGGATGAATTAATTCCATTTAGCACTTCCTCAAGTTCCTTAAAATGAAGAATAATTCCAGCCAATAAATATGACCTAGTTCTACACGAACAGCAAAAAAATGACTCTGCAATCTCTATAATTTAACACCTTTTCACATTTTAGGAAATCATCATTATCTGATTCATTCATTCTTTCACGTCAATCTATGTATTTCCTGTTTAATTGGGAAAAAGCTAGTATGCAAATTAGATGAGGTGAACAAACTTTTAATGCATCCAAAATTTCCACAAGAATGACGTCTCTCAATCATGCCATTGACCCGTTGATGGAATTGATACAAGAGTTTGACATAGACCTAAAAAAATTGAATCTAGTTTTTGTGCAAGGCAAGAATTTTCAATAACCATTATGTTCCTTCAGAATTACTATGGGAATGAATTGTGTTCATGGCTTATTTTCAGACCAGGGTCATAGGAAGTTTCAGGGTGTTGCCCTTGTCGGATCTTAACACAATTGAAAGGCAGTTCTCCTTTTAAGTTTTTTCCTTTTAGTATCCTCTTTTTTTATCTGTATTTTTTTTTTCTCAAGGATATCTTGTCCTAAACATTTAACTTAAGTGCTCGATTCTCTTTGGTAATAAATTTCTTCTTTTATAGAAAAAAAAACTAATTCGAGAGTCAGTAACAAAGTTTGTCCCCAATTATCCAATTGCTAGGATGGGTGGATTAGGCTGGAGAAAAAGTACACAACAGCAGAGAAAGCAAATAGTAAAAGTTAAATACCAATATCTCAATATATGCAATTGATTCCTAGTGAGGATAACAAAATAACTAGACTAATTTAATTACCTAGAAAAATAACAGGTGGGCAAGAAAACACAGGATCTAAAAAACAGAGACACTTTTAATCTTTTTCCCCCTTTAAACGACATTTCAACCCAACTAATAGCACACCCCCCCTCCAAAAAATAAAAAACACCCAAATACAATGATATTGTTAATTAGTTTTTCCCCTCTGTTCTGGTTAAACAATTTCATCAAGTGGCCCTTCACGACAAAAAAACTTACAAGATTCACCTTTTTCTCTTTTTTTTTTTTTTTTCTCACAAATACTTTCCTTTTCCTTATATTTTCTCAGCAACCAAGCAAAGATCAAACCTTATAACGTTGAACTATCTACTCGGCGGGATAAGCCACCAAGTCCTAAAGAAATGCACATTCAAATTGTCTATTTCTTCCATCTCCTTCTTAAAGCATTTTCTTGGGTTCTGATGATAAAAACATACAAACAATATATATACATATACACACACAGATACATAAAGACAAGGAGAGAGGCGTGTAGTAGAGAGAGAAAGACTTACTGGAATTGAAGCTACAAATGGGTTTAGGTTTCAGAACAACGGGGAAAACTTGTGTGCCTTCCACGGCAAAAAAACACACCCTGATGGTGCAAATCAGCCTTCTAACTGAAATTTATAGTTTAAATTACAATAATACCCTTCATATTTACTTAAATTATTCAAGGGAAAACTACACTTTGCCCCCTCAACTATAATTTTTTTCACTTTACTCCTTCAACTATTATATCTTTTACATTACACTTTCAGTTATGTGATTAGTTTTACATTGCCCCAATTATTAATGTCCATTACATATTTAACAGAAAGTTATTTTATTTTTCCCTCTAAACTATATAATTGTTTTTTACTTTGACCTAACAAATTAGTAATTTTTATTCAAAAAGATAAGTAGATAACAAACATTTGTGATTGTTACAACATGAAATAATTAAAGTAGTTGAAAGGATAATGTAAAAAATTAACAGTTCAAAGAACAACATGAAGAAAAAAAAAATTCATAATTGAGGAGGTCAAAATATAATTTACTCATTATTCAACTGCCACTGACATTTGAATAAAAAAAACAAATTAAAACTCACTCTTTTGTTTAATGCATTCTGTTAGATTGCATAGAAGACAATTGAGTTAGTTTATTCAAAAAGCATAATTGTCAGACATTTGATGACAAATTGGAGGATATTTTTGGCAATATACATCTTATCTAATGTTCCCATTGAATAAAATATCTTATTGTGCTAGTATTTTTGTTTGGTCTCTCTCACGATAAAATTATGATCCCGTCTCTTAACGAAGACATGAACGTTGTTGAAAAATATCAGGTCGATAAATTATATATTTGCCTTCTACCACAAAAATATGATACATTACTAGTTTCTTATTACATTGCTTGCATGAAAAATTGTCTACAATAATCAATTACACTTCTTCAAAAGTTTCTGGTGGAATGAAGAAAGGCAATGATAGACAATTCATGCCCTAGTTATTCCATGGTACTTTCACATGAACTCTTTATTTGTTTCCTTTTACTAAATATAATATAATTCCTAGAAGCTGTACTAGAAAAAATCCTTTATGGCTCCATTTATTTTTGTCCGTACTTTAGCATGACATTGGAGAGGGATTATTGATGTCTGTTCAATAGCCCCGCTAATCTCTCTCTATATATATCTATACAATTTTAAAATATCAACATACATAATTTTTTTTTTTTTTTCATTTTTATCCTTTGACACTACAATTATGTCATGTTTATCCTCTAGATTTAATGCCACAAGTAATTTCCTTGATCAACCTTTTTCAATTAATTACAGTATCTTTTCATATCCTTTCATCCTTTTAAGTTAACTAGCAATGCAACGGAAAAATTTTCCTTAAAATATTTGATAAAATACATAAAAATTTAACTATATAGCTAAATTAAATTTTATTTCATGTTTATCATACTTAAATTGTTTGTATTGTGAATAAAGAGAAAAAGATACATATATCAATTTTTTAGTATCGGAAATAATATTGTATCAATAAAATTGTCGATATTTATTAATGTTGGGATTTTGGAAAAAAAGAATAATTTTTTTGTATATCCTATTAAGAGTAACATGATCATCTAAAAGTTTTGTAAAGATATAGATTTACATGATATGTTAGAGGTTATTTTGTTATTTAAGTATGGAGGGATATAATGGTAATCTGTATATTTAAATAGAAAAGAACATGGAAGTCTTTATAATTTTTTATAAGGGCAAAATAGTGAATTAAAAGTTTTTCATGTAAGGTACTTTTATTAATAGTATAGATTAGTTATACAAATTTAATATTTTAATTTTTTTACTTACCAAAATAATATTTTATTACATTCATTTAAACTCTAATTATTGATTTTAAATTTTGATTTTCTATTTTTTCTTGATCAATTTTGACGTTAATCCAATATTATCTATAATCAATATAATCTGCAAATATTTCAATTATTGATTAAATCTTTAGAGCTATTTAGTAATGGGATTTTGAAATATGCATGTTGAAACAATTGGGTGTAAAAATCTGGTCTGAAATAAAGGTAGGCATTGAAACTTCTAATATTATTTGCTTGAGATTACTCTTTGTCCTAATTTCCTTCTTGAATTTGCAACCCACAAAAATCCGTTCAAAGCATGAAGAAGAAAGCTACTTAAGAGAAATATATACACATGAATCCATAGATTGATATACTTATAGGGGCGTACTGGGGAGGATGGTGAGAAAAGAGGAGGGTTCGGGAAAACAATAGGGGTTATGGCGTGCATTATCAATATTATTGGTTAATTATCAAAATATGTAACACCATGTGTAAATTTGAATTATTCCTTTTTTTTTTTTTTTTATGTATGGGCAGTTTCAGTTTATTTTCACTACCTATATCATTTTCTTTAATGTTGGCTTGTTCATCGACTTGTAGTCCTGATTATCAAAACAATGGAATCACAAATACAAGTAAAAATTAATCGCCCAATTACTCTATGTAAAATTATCAGTGAGTTTTCTGACACATATAAAGTAGAAATCTAAGTTGTGCACGCATAGTTTCACTGGATTTTAATTTTAGTAATTGCTTGGATACATTGAATTTGTGCAATGAACACCGTCAATTCAATGTAAGAGCTTAAAAATGGCTAAGTTATCTATACTAGGCTTGACACTCAAGCTTTAGAGGTGAATACAAGAAAAAGAATTCGTGGAAATGTGAAAAGAGTACATTTATATCATTAGTTTATTATCTCGAGAGCTATCTACCATGGAAGCTAACCAAGCAAGTCAAATGTCGGAAAAATATGGGACTTACTAATATTTGAAAATGTTATCCAGATACCAAGGTCTCTTTCAATTTTTGGGAGACTTGACATCAAATGCTTCTCTGTTAATATATTTAACTTTTGTTTATGGATTGGTATATAAGTATAGGCCTTCCAATTTCACTTCTTGGAGTTGAATTTCAATCCAAGTTCACCGCCACCTTGATGAGGTATGTTATCTTATTTGTATAATGCTTTTGAACTAAATTGTATCCATTGTTAGCATTGGATGTTGTCTTTCCCAAATAGAAATTTTTTATCATGCTAATTACGAAATTCCGTGGACCATACAATACAATGATGGAAGTGCAATGGTTATACATGTGGATAGTTGGAAATTGATTGATATTGAACACGTCACAAAATTTCAAGTGAGCTCTTTGTGGTGTCACTTTTTGTTGTACTAAGATGTTATCAAGATCAAACTTCTGTTAACAATAAAAAATTGGCCAAATCTGTTGTGACCAAAGTTATAGTGAGAAACCATTGCAACCACCTGTTGGAACTTGAGGAATAGAAGAATTGCAGTTAAGGATTACAAAGGGAATTAATCACAAATGATCAACTATCATTGAAAGACAAAGTTTGGGGCCTAGCACAAGGTAGTGATATCCAATTCAACACGTGCTTTCAATTTCTCTATGCAAAGTAATACCAGTAGGAAAACCTCTTCAATTCTCAAGGTAGTTTTGTTAAACTTCAAAATGATTTGTACTACGAGATATTAGGCTTGATTTTCAATTGGGTATCTTAAGTTGTCCCAAACAATCTATATAGTTATAACAATTCAATTTTTAAATATTGGTGGTGAAGGGGTTAGCCCTCATCATTAAACATGTAATGGCATTAAATGAAACCCACGTGAGGTTGACAAGACAGGTCACGTGACGGAGAAATCATTCACACAACCTTATAAATCGAGTTGTGCTGATCGATAGGTTCGACAAAGAAAGAAAGAGTTTGGTTCTCTTTATGATCGAGCTCATCAATCTGTTTAGCTAAACAAGGAAAGAACTTGGCTTGTACCAAGCTGAGCCCGTTAAAGTGTTCGGCAGGGCGATTGAAGAGATCGGTTTGTGTCAAACCAAGTCCCTTAATTTGTTTGGCAAACATCGAGTGTGCTCGGCATTCGATATGTCCGAGCTATTTCAAATGATAGACAGAAATATTAAGATTCGCCTATAACTTAGGTAATCAAATAAATGAATTAGCAAAATTGAAGATATCACGTGGAAATATTGGAGAAATATTAGCAACTTCTCAAACTGAATCACTGAATTGAAGGAAGGTGTGCTACCTTGAATAAAAATTTACGGAAACCCTAGGGGGATAGTGATCTATAAAAAGTAGAAGAGACCAAGGTGAAAGGTACGTTGAACTCTCCTGGTCTTCTAGCAATTATTTTGTTCCTTTACTGACTTAAGCATCGGAGTGCCTTCGATCGAAGCACTTCGATCTTGGGCAGTTTGTTCCTTTTGCAGAACAGGAAGATTAGGAGATCCAAGTTCAGAAATATTCTTTACCAGAAATATCAAATCCAACATTTAGTGAGAGGTATAATCAATTTTTACCTTTTACATTTTGGGCCCGTCTGTGGGAGAATTTCTAAAACATTCGCAACTAAAAGCTACGATGTTGAGACTAAGAAGTGCAATTGGATCTACTAGAGGCAGTTTTGCCTTGGGAAACTCTGATCCAATATCACCATCATCTAGAAGCGCTAGATTGCACGCCAACAGAAGTCTGTCTAGACCTCTTGAAGATGACGAAATATCTTCAGTCAGTTTCAAACCATCCAGAGATCAAAATCAGTAGATTGTTGGATATGGGGATTCCCTCTGTGCCGAGGGGGAAAACCACTCTTTGGCGAAGCTGGTCCAATCGCTGCAGGACAAATTGGATGCACACGACCAATTATTCAAAAAATCCTACGCCAGAGAAAGAGATCTGATAAAAGAAAATAAAGAATTGAAAGCCAGAGTAAAGGACCTGACTAAAAAAGGGAAGCGTGAAAGGGACGACCGACGAGAAAGTCCCAAGAAAAAGCATGATAGAGTTAAAGAAGTTAGGAATGACAAGCACCAAAAAAGACCTTGGATTTTGGAGGAAGACTCATGGAAGAAATACATTATCGAGGAGCTCAACAATCGCTTGAAAAAACCAGAACAAAGGTCGGCAAGGGACCTAGCCAGGAGGGCAACAAGGGAGTTTGGCAACAGCTTCGAATCTTCCCCCTTCACTTTGTGGATTGAAGGAGGGAGAATCCCGAGCAAGTTTACCATTCCGAGTTTCAAACTTTACGACGAAAAAAC